TCTGCATTTGTGCTACTCGGCTCAGTCCCACGGCGGGTGGGATCTTCTGTTTACATCCAGTCCCATACAGCAGGTAGAATGACTCATTCCTGAAAACTCCAGTGTTGTTTTGAGAGGCTTTTTTTAAAGGTCTGTGTTGTTTTCTTCTTCTAGTAGATAATTAACTGGAACTGTAACATAGAGTTTTTAAGGAGTTTGTTTCTTTATCTGATTCCTGAAATGATGATCACCGTGCTTGCTCATGTCCTGCTAAACTTCTCAGCTGTGGTGAAGCTATTAAAGGAATCTTTCAAGCATGCCATTCTTATTTGTAAACCTTTGTAATCTGGGAGAACGACTAAACTGACGCTGTCAGGTAGCATTTTATGTATCTTGCAGTTGAATTGACAGATACTTTGGGTTTTGGGAGTTTTTTTAGATTTTGTAGTTTTATTATTTTGGAGAATAATAACATTTTGATTTTATACATATAAAAATAATTTGGTAGTGATAGAGTCATAATGCAAGATCTTTGCCTTTGGTCTTGGGAGAGAAGCAAAGATAAAATGGCAAAGTATACTGTTTTTGAAAAAGTTTTCCTTTTTATTCTTGGAAAGCAATTTGACTTCTCTCCCCCTCCCCACCCCTCCCCTGAACTGCCTGCTCTTCACAAATAACCTTCCAACATATAATTAATAGTTATTGTCCTTCTGTCATTTCAAAATCTCTCTGCACCTAACACAGGCATGAGTCTGGAATTCTTTTGTTCTGACCTAAGACAAAAGTCTTAGTGCATGACAGTGGGAAATAAATTAAACAATTGTTAGAGGGCTGTGTTTAGGTTCAGTAACTGCACCAGGCACTGTTATTTGATGCTTCTGATTTTTAACAAACCAAACAACATTCAAGGGAAGAACTGTCAAATGTGGATGTCGGGCCCAAAGGTGTTTCAGGTCTACACTGAGGGTGAGTGTGAGGGTGGTTAACGTCTGTCTCCTTTGGGCACTTCCGATGGTTATTTGAATGTGCTTTGTGTTCATTCCAAGTTAGTTGCCATTGGTGATTTTCCTCTTTTATTGAGGATTCGAGGATGGGAATGCCACTAATAAAGTAGTGCCTTTACCTAGCATGCCAGATCTTGCGGTACTGCAATTGTATTCATCTCTGGTGGCTGTAAATAGGGCAGATCGACACTGTAGCCTTGGCAGCAGGAGTAATTTTTAAGGGTACAAATAAAAACGAGGTGTCTATCTCCTGCAGGCTGTCAGTGGACTTTGGTGCTTAGCTGCCCATCTTGGTTTCTCTTTTTTCTTTTCCTTTCTTCTTTTTTTTACTTCTTTCTAATCTCTACTGTTAAGCAAAAAAAAAACCTGTTTATATTAATAGCATTTCATATTGTTTAGTTCTAGAAAAGAATTATTAGGGTTTTCTGATCCATCCTCTGCAATCTTACATCCCTGATTTCCCTCTTATTCTGCTGCTCTTTTTTTTTATTATCAGATCAGAAAGTGAAAATTTGCTTGGACAAGCAGAGAAGGCACCAGCCTTGGCCTCTTAAAAGATAGTATGAAGGTTGCAGTTCCATTCAGCTATCATAGGTACTGTAACTGTATAGTTTGGTTTAGTATGAGCTTATTATAAAAACAGGACCTTGAGTCAATTTACTTGTTGTCCTGCCATCCTTGGTCAGGATGACGAGCCACTGATAATAGTCTCAGTGACTGACAACAAAATGAGCGACTGCTGAAAATGAGCAGATTTTTTTGTATGAGCAGGTTGTCAGCCTTCGTATTGAAGTAGCAATCTGAAACAAGAAAGGTTATTCTAAGCTGTTTATTCCACAAATAAATAGACTAAATTTTGATCAGCTGAACCTGATGACTGCTGGCATTTAAGAGGCATCGACATTCAGAACTCATTGAAAATATTTAGAGGGTAATCCCTCCTACACAGGTATATACAAATATTGTCATAGTACATTTCAGAGTCCAAGTTCTCTTCTGCCATATGCGAAAGCTTGAAAATGTCCTATAAAGCCTTCAGCTGAAATGTTCATTAGCCACTTATTCCAGATGCTTTCAAGGATTCTGTGGAATATCAGTTGTTCTAAATCTGGCTCTCTGAACACAGCAAGCAACTGACATTCCCCTGAAATTGTATCTAAAGCCATATTTCAGACACTAAAATACAGTATTTGTTGAAATGTTGACTTTTGTGCTGCTGATAAAAGGTAAGATACCAAAATTAAACATCTAACAGTTGCTAGTGATGTCTCATTTCAGCTGAATTAGGTTATTAGGGAAATCCTCAGTTGTATCCTCTTCAGCACTGCACCTTCTTACTTGTTCTTTTACTTGCATATAAACAGTAGAAACTAACTTAAGCTGAAGACTTGCCGATGCTAAAGGAGCATGTGCTCCTTTCACGTTGCCTGTGCTAGGCCTAGTGCTCATCCGCCCACATGATCAGCAAGCCAGCCCCAGTCTCCTAATCCAGCAGCAGATGTCTTTTTGGTGAATTCTTGTTCTGTGACAGTTGATTTGGGTCATATTGTAGTCAGGTGCCACAGTCAACTCAAGAGATGTAGGAGGGGCATGTGGCTGGGAGAGGGAGGGGGTTAAGACAGCAGTGGGAAAGGAGGGAAAGAAGGCAGGCTGGTTTGCAGTTTTTAGCACTTAACAGAAAGCTTCCAGGTATTTGCAAGTGGTTTTTGCTTATATTTGTTGTACTGTATACCTGGAGTAGTATATAAGTAGAAGGAGCTGTGCAAAATTATCAACGTCCTTCTGGCATCATCCCTGCTTCCTTCCCTAAGGCCCCCTACCACTGCATGAGAGTAGACCTGCTTTGTCTTGTTCCATGAAGGGCAGTAAGCTGAAGCTACGTGCTCGTACTTACTCAGAGGCAACTTCTTGTGGAGCTGCAGAGAGTGTTACTACTGGGAGAACCAGGGTTTTGTCTTTAAAGAGGGCTTTATACGTCACATATCTGTGTATAGTGTGACTATGTTCTTCAGTGATATTCCAAGAATTTTCAATTCACTTTGTCACATCATCTTTGTGGTATGTCTTGTATTTTTCTTTCAAATATTTAGAAATCTACATTAAATCTTTTGTGTTAGGAAATTTACAGTTAAGAAACCAGTAGGTTAAGTGTTGAAGGTGTGATAGTGAGTTTGTTTGGATTACCTGCCTTCGTCTGACTGTCCTAGCATGGATTCTGATCTTTACAGTTTGCTTTGCTCTCATCTCATCATTTATATTTCTCTGAATGTACATTTTGGTAATACTTGGGTTGCCAGTAAATTCTATGACATTGCAGTGCTTAGAAGTTAAATGTGTGTGTAAAATACTTTTTTTTAATGATGATTACTGAAGTATATAACAACAGAAGTTTGTTTTATATATTAAGCTTGTAACTGAAAGCATTTTCTCTTAACAAATAGTTGGACAAAATAGAAACCAGTGAATTCTGTCCTTTAGCTGGAGAGAAAGTTGCAAGAAACCCCCAAAAAGGCAGTCTGTTGCATCTGCACTCTGTGCTTCCAGTTTTAAGATGACGGTGATGTAACACTTGAGTTGGCTTCTGCGTGGAGCAGTTTGGAGCTCTCGGCTGTGTTACGCAGTGTTTCTGAGCACAGGTTGGCCATGGAAGCGATATAGCTGTGTGAGCTGTCGTGTCTAAGCTGCCAAGTCGTTCTCTCTGTGGCGTGGTTAACTCACAGCCTGGATTAGTTGTTGGTAAATAACTGTAATCTTGAATTTGAACCAGCTCTTGTAAATGATCTTGTTTACACGGTGAAAGGGAAGGGGATCACGTTTTTAAACTATATGGAGCACATTCATTCCTGATGCAGAATAATAACAACTCCTCTTGAAAAATTAGAGAGAACAGATGCTTGCAAACTTCATTGGTTTGGGGGTTTTGGGGTTTTTTTTTTAGGCAAGTCACTGTTACTTTTGCATTATTACTACTATTTTTAGTTAAAATTCAACTTTTTTTTGAGTGCAGAGGTATTTGTACAGATCAGGTAGAATTCACCTTCATTTCTTACCCGCAGAAATGAGCAAACGTAATGCCCCAAAATATCAACAGAAATGCACAAAACCTAACACTTTAATCTACTATAGTTGTCTATTTCATTTATGGCCTATCAGTTTTTTGAAACAGGCGGATTAATTACATTTTGTAACAGGCTCAAATTAATATTTTATGCTTCTTTTTTTGATTAAATTAAACTTTAACCCTGACAATTGGGACGATTGGGTCAGTGGTTGCTGTGGAAATGTTCATTTGATACATAAAGCTGTAACTGGATGTTTGTTTCCCCCTGACTTGCAGCCCCCTCCTAATCCTCTCCCCAGCGGTAAGTGCTGCCTTTTGCAAGGCATCCAGAAGGATGATGTGAGTGTCCTGTAACCTGCTGCAGGCAAAATGAGCTAGATAAGCCTAGTAATTTAAATTGGTGATCTGAGCTAACTTGTCTGAATTTTTGCCTGAATTATAAGATAGTGCTTGCATGAAGTAGTCTGCTGACTCTGGGGTGGAGGTGGTAACACCCTAGCAGAGAGGCGGATGGCAAGTTCAGGTGGTTCATGTCGTCTTCTAGTTCAGCTTAACTTTGTACAAGATATACATCCACGTGCTTCAGTGTTTTTACGACAAGGGCAATTCTTACATCTTGTTTTACAGTAAATTTATTACCAGGCTTTTATATCTAGCTAAAGCATGTTTTATAGTAGTCTAACCCAGACTACATTCTTACCAATGCTTGTTTTAACCATTGATTAGCCTCTGTTCATTGGAGGTGGACGGGACGTATTTCAGGTTTTGTGAAGAACTGCACTTCTGGGAACATGTAGATTTTCGTTTTGACAATTGGGACAGTAGGAGGTACAATTCAGGCAGATGGTCTATATCTGAATGTTTTATACTGACTTTAGCTCACCACAAATTGCTAGTCTCTTTCCTGGTCATTGTCAGATGAATGATTTTTCTTTTTTCCTTTTTTTCCCTTTAAGGGAGGAGAACTGTACCTGAATTGCAGTTTTCAGCTTGAGGTTTTACAGCGCAACAGAAGATTCTTGCCTCTTCTGCCTCAGAAATGAATGAAGCAAGTTCAGGTACTTATCTATTTGCTGACTGCATGTCCAATCCATCTATTGGAGAGAGACTACAATTTTTTAAAAATAGAGATAATATCTTTTCTAAAAAATCAGCTGATATAATTAGAAAAACATACTAGTGTCTCCCCACCTCTAACTCCCTCAACCCTTCAAGTCTTAAATAAAAGCAGTGTACTTCAAAGTTAAATAAAAGTTGAGATCAAATCCAAGTTGAGTTCAGAGTTTGATTAGACGTATACCAGTCAGACCATCTCAGGAAGATAGATCAGGCTGGCAAAAAAGGTAGTAAGATGACCATCTCTAAAGGTGGTCAGTGGAAAGCATAGCCCGTGGAATATGGACAAGATGGTTTAGGGAAAAAAAAGTGCATCTTTTGATACAGTATACAGGTATTTGCAAGAAGCCATCTATTTTAAAAGTTATAGCTGAGTTTGAGTTTTGTCATTCCTGCTGAAATGTGTTTGGAGGATTATGTGCTGATGTGGGTGAAGGGGAGAGGTTCAAGAGGGTGTATGTGTTCTGGGAGAGAGGCCAAAGTTGGCTTGTAGCAGGGCAATAAGCCGGTTCTCTGCATTGTGTTTGAAACAAAATACCAAATCAAGCAGGCTTAAATCAAACATGCTGTGTTCTAAACACATATATATGAGGAACTGAAAGAAAAAATGTGGTTGTAGAAGTTAATAGGTGTGGAGAAGAACTCTGAAAAGAAGTTCTTTTGGTGTCCTGAGAACCAAGGATTAGATTAGTTTTGGAGGAAAGAAGTGTCTACACCTCACTCTAGGAACCAAGACTACATCTTTGTGGTGAAGACAGGAAAAGGACGTTCTGAACCACTTATTTTCACTGAAAGCGGAAGCTATCTGGTTGTAAGGAACCTGATCTGTATGGAAGGTTATCCTATCAAGATTTTCTCCTGCTTTGTAACTGTTGAGATAAAAATTCAAAGCATTCTTTTTTTGGTTGTGTGTATAATCTGCTGCATCCATAGTTGGGGTTTAAGATATGTTATTTACGTTGTGATGACTAACGTAAAATCCACGCCTAGCCTACTGAGGAGTAGTTCTGTTTGTACAATTCCAAATAAGCAGGAATGCCAAGTAATAGAATGCACTTCATTGCTGGACAATTAAACAGGAGTCTTGTATTAACTGGGAGGTGTCCTTGAAAAGGACTTAGTATCACCTTTATCTTGTGAGGCTTTTTGGTTAATTAATTGGCACGATTTTTTCTTAATTGCAGTCTTAACTGTCACAGCTGGAAGTTTTTGCATTGAATAGAATTGATAATGTTGATAATGTTTGGAAAACCTAGAGCTAATACATATTGAAATAATTTTACAGTCCCAGAGAATGAAAAGTCTAATTCTGTTTTGTAACATTAAATTATCCTGTTTATGTTCTTAAAAAGTAATGTGTGTCATGTAGCCTTGGAGGCTTACAGTTATAAACTGTTATTCCTTTTGAGTATTAAAATTTGAGCTCTAAGCCGGCACCTCATTAAAATACTTAACCAGCTCTCTCAAAGCTGATGGCTTCCAACTGGAAACTTAAATAAGTCGGTGATAAGGGAGAGTCAATAGAGACATTGTGAGCAGCATGTACATGTATCATAAGGTGTTTGTTTTAAAGGTACAGTCATCGTGAGAACTGTCAAAATGCAATGGAGTTGTTAAAACACTTGTTCTACTTTTACTTTGCCATAATGGCAATCTTTCTTGATATGAATATTTAGAATGATCAAATCCATGATATAACTGAATGACAGTCACAACCAGGCATCCCGAGACACTCTGTGTAACTCAGGATGGAATTTAAAGGAGCTACTAACCATAAACATGTCCACAAATTTTAGATTGTCATTTCATAAAAGCTAATTCTGTCCGTAGTGCTAAAGTATTTACCTGCTGGCATATAATTCTGGTCTCGAAAGGTAAATTTTTATGTAAATTACTAGTCATGAGCCAAACCAAACAAGGTTGTTGTGCACAGATGGGAAAGTACGGAAACTGGTGACGTGGAGTTACTGAAGACGTTCATCTAAGTTGATTATAATTGTTCAAAAAAAGGTGCACATCTGCAGCATGTGTTGAACCTAATATATTACGTGGAATGGGTAGTCTGGGGAGGAGTGCTTGGGATGATAAATGGTCTGTCAGTACAGCAGCTTGAACAGTCAGTTAACTCTTTACTTGAAGCATGCCATGTGGTCAGTTGTAGAGAGTTTGTCCCTTTGCAGAATGAAGTTCTTTTTCCTGCTGGGAGAAATCCATTTTTCTGTGGATCCCCCAAAAGCGGATTTTGGCCAGGCTTCTTGAGACAAGGCCAACATTGACAGTGCTGCAGACTCCTCTGAAGAGTTAGGTAAAAGAGTTATCTGTCTCTCCACTGGAATGGAAGCCGTGAAGACAAAATACATACGCTTATACACAAGTACTTTTTTTGTCATTCCTAGCTATATGTGTCAGTGCTGAATAATGTAGCGGAGTGCCGAACTCTTTTATTCCCTAAACCTTTAAAGACTTTAGCGGTATCATTCGGTGTAGTAAAGTTGTATTAAAGCTCCTTGTCATGTAGCTATCCAAAGAGATACACTATTTTGTGCTCACTGGTAATCTGATACGTTTTACCAGCTCTGAAAGATGGAAAAAAGTATTGTAATATACCTTTGAAAATTATAAGGAACTACTTATATTGGGGAAAAAATAGAGGTCTAAGGAGCTTTGATATGCTTTTCCTTTAGAGAGCTCCAATATTTTCTGTATTGGGTGGAGGTTATGCAGCTGTTTTTATCCCAATGTTAACATATTAGGTTACAGGAATCTTTCCACTTAATTGAGCAAACACAGGAGAGTATTTACGTAACTGGAGATCTGCAACTGGCAGTAGAATTAATTAGGAGAGGAATAATTAGGCAAATAGTAGTGTCCAAATGGTCCCAATAGAAAAAGGTATTGCAATCCCAATAGAAGTCTCATTAATGTTGTTATTTGTGATGAGCTGTGCCTTTTGCGGTACTGTAAGGGGAGGCAAATGTGGAAGGATCTCAGTGGGGTGTCAGCTTGGGTATGAAGCAGAAACAATATCAAGGTTTTAAGCTGTCTAGTCTCATTATTGTCACTTAGTCATGGCTGCAGCTCCGCTATCTGCTTAAAAGCCTTCCTTGATTGAATGAGCCGCTTTATGGTGAAACAGGTACAAAAGAGAGAATTTCAGGTTAGTACTTGTTACAGAATTGCTGCTTCATGTATCAGAAACAGGTTGTCTCTCATGCCGAGCAGATAACTGAGTAAAAAATGAGTCAAATTAAGCTTATTTCAAATACTTTTGCTCGAATTCGACAGCTTACTGGTTCAAAGAATGGAAAAGTTAATGACCATATTATCTAGACTTCCCATTGTAATACTACTCATACAGTGGAATAAAAGAAAGGTTAATTAACATGATGTCATATTTATAGTGGCTGTTCTAGCAGTAGTCTCTTTGGTTACCAGTCTATAGTAGTAAGGTCTGTCATGTGGTCAGTGAGGGAAAATATCTTAGACGTAGTGCTCCGGGGGAAGCTGAGGGTGGATGCTGTAACAGAGGTTGAGTTTTCCCTATTTTCCCCTTGTTTTGCCATCTGATAATCTTTTTTAGCTCTGTTACAAATTACTGTATTCCGTTTCTCTCTACAATAATGTACAATACAGAGTGCATTTTTCAAGCTTGTTTCATAGGTGCATTGGAATGGTATATATGACTAAAAAATACTGTACTGTGAGAATATCTTTTATCAAAACCTATCAGTAAAACCAAAGCATTTCACAGATAATCATTCAGAGATTCCAGCTTGGGAAAGAGGTAAGTGTTACCTCCTCTGAAATAACCTCCTCCATGCCTTCCATCTGAGGCATGGAGAGGTTAAGGGAGCTGTTTAAGGGTCACAAATACCATCGGAAGCAATGCTAGTAATATAATTGTTTCACACAACTCCAGTTTCTAACCAAATTGGGATAATAGCCTTCATTCCTCTACAAGTGAGCTACAGTGCCGTCCTGATTTGAACTGGTAACAGGATTTTGTTTTGGGTTTTGATCAAAATGAGCTAACAACTGAGTAGTGCATGATGTAGCAAATTCATTTTATTTTTAGTGATGGGTAAATGAATCCACATCAAAATATTCTAGGCTGACAGCTGTGGAAAACTAGTGCTTCTCTTTGTCATAGTGAAAGTTACAATAACAGTTGTGTGCATTTTGTATTTATCTATTCCACTTCCCCCATTAGCTCTAGTTGCTGATGTTTTTAATTAACTTGGTCTCCTATTATGGGAGCAGCTGTGGATAAATATCAGTTAAGCAGGACTCTTATTTATGTGCATTTTTTTTAAATGTGACTATAAAATATTCATTAATTCTAAATTCCTGGGGCCATGTTCAGACACACATATCTCTCCCTTAGCGAAGAGAGACAGACATCCAAGTGAGATTTTTGTGACTCTTACTGTAGACAGTATGTATGAAAACAGGGTGCAGAGAAAAGATGGAAATAGTTGTCTGACTATGGGTCTTTGAACATGGTCTAGATGGGAGGCAATGCTCCCTACTTTACTGTCCAGGCCAGAATACCTGAAAATGTGGATTCTGATTTCTTCTAATACACTGAATTTTAGAATCATAGAATCATTTAGGTTGAAAAAGACCTTTAAGATCATCGAGTCC